TAAGATACATAATGATAAGATAAATAAAGATTGACTATATAGCCACTACATTCTTAATGAATGTCTACCTACCACTTCGTTCGCTACAATAGCAACCACTTCGAACTCCAATTCCCTCTTGGCAGGATCATCCACATCATAATCTAACACAGTAACATCGTTCGCTTTGACTACGACAGGAACCCTGCCTTGTGCTTCCTCAGGATTGACAGTGAAAGCCTTGCTGATTCCAGGATAATCCGGCGCGTCCCTCAGAGCCAACGTGTATTTAGCATTGTCACCCACATCCCCATCACTGACGATCATATTCAACCCAGGTAACGGCGTGTCCTTGCCGATGTCTTCAAAGATAGTAATATTAAACTGGTCTTCATTAAACACAGGAGCTAGATCGTCAACGTCGGTGACGACGATCGTCACAATCGACGTCGCAGTCTCAGCTGGGATCTCATTATTAATCAACTCCGTGGCCTTCACTTGGAACGTGTAGATCCCACCGTTCTGTAAAATCCTTGGGTCTTCCCTGTCCAGGGAAATGTTCGCCGTGACTAATTTTCCAACTGTGACGTCGCCCTCTCTTGATACTTCTAGATTAAAGTGACCGGACTCTTCTTCTTCTAATGTTAAGAGGAGCGTTCGTGGCTCGCCGGTGTCACCGTCACGAGCTCGGATCGTCAGGACTGTGTGGTTCGCTGCCGTGTTCTCCGGAAGTGCTGCGCTGTACGGCGCGTTCAGGAACACCGGTGGCTGGTCCTAAAGTCATTTCGTTGTTGCGGACATTTAACATGGCTCAATATATTCCTAACAGTTCTATTTTTTTTAATATTATTAACGCCTCCCTTACTTGGACGTCGAGGACGTCTACAGCCACCGTGGCTCTGGCCTGCAGCCTCTTGGAGACATCGCTAGCACCGTCGACTGCCAACAAGTTGATCAGGTACGAGTTTCTCCTCTCATAGTCCAACGGCTTCGCGAGACTAATTTGTACATCGTACTTTCCCTCGGCCAACTAAGAAAAACGGTTCTCTATTTAAAGTCTGATAAGTAGACTGGCGATTTTATGGATTGGAAAGTATATAAAATGAAGTAGGAATTTAATAAAAAATGTTGACGATACCTTCTCGGTGGAAACGTCGAAGACGTCGCAGACGTCGTCGTCGCGGGACGCAGGGACGCAGTCCACGTGGACGTCAGCGTTCACGCCACCGTCGCGGTCTGTGATCGTGATCGTGCCAGCGGGAACGAGCAGGCCACCCACGTGCGCACTTTCCGGCACCCTAGCCGCGTACGGTCTCCCGTGATATACCGGCGGGTTATCGTTCTCATCGAGCACCGCTATTTCTCGCCGGAGAGATACCGTGTTCGGCTCCGACCCCGCGACCCCCTCGTCTGACAATAAGGAACAATGGACATAAAACACGAATCGCAATTATAAAATATGTACGACGCCTTTAACACTAGATTGCCCAAGGAAGTCATTTTGACTGCTTTTGGGCAAATGTACAAA